CAACCTTAACTCTATTGACTGTATTGTCATATCTTTGAGTTATATTATATGTTCTTCCTATCTTATATCTCTTTGTATTGAAGTCCTTCGGTTTCTGAACGATGTAAAGTAAGCCTTCACTGCAACGTTCCGTATCGAATGAACCATATGTTATGAAATTATATCCAACAACTGGGTCTAACCATAACAAAACTATTGGTATAAGACTTTTGTCAATGAGATATGCTGTAGTTCCACAGAATCTTACCGATATCATAAGCTCAGGATTTCTTGTCAAAATTTTCTGAGTTGAAGCAATTCCAACCCAATGCCATGTTTTCTTTCCAAATGGTGATATAATGTCTGACAAAGAATATTTGTTGTATTTCTTTGAGTATCTTACGTTTAAATCACCTATTCTAACCACTTTGGTGTCATTGTCTATCTTTTTAACTGTTTCAAACTCAGTGTTTGTCATTTCCTGTTCTTACATACAAAATAAAAAAATAAAAAAAATAAAAACTAACTTTTTTTTCTATCTTGTATAGAGGATATGATTTCAGGGATTTTTTTACGAAGAGTAAAAGTTCACTTCGTCAAAAATAACACAAAAATAGTGTATTTTAAACGAAGTGTCAAAGTTCTCTTCGTCAAAAAAATACAGTTATATCATGAAATTTGGTCATTTTTTTCATGTCAGAAGACTCGAAGGTGCAACACTTCCAAAATACCGACGAACTCAGAAGAGCAGCATGGCAGTATGTTCTTGACAACTTCTTTGAGTTCTCCAGGTACACCTTGGAAAATGCTGAAGAACTCCGACACAGAGAATTTGGAGAAATTGCGCTCCAATACTACATTGACAAACAAAGGGTAAAATAAGACTAAAAACTTAACGTTTAAAAAGTGACATTTTTAATGAGCTCCGAGTCACCGAGAAAACTTGGTCAGATGTTAGCAGCTTACTTCCCTGAGGAGGATGGAAGCGTTACATACGTAAGGTTCAAAAACAACGAACCTGGAATTGCGTACCAAATTCGCGATTACATGACCGTGGAAGAGTACGAAAGGTTCCTACAAGAGAAACCAGCTCTAAACAACTCAGAAAAGAAAGAATAAAAAGTTTAACTCGTAATTGTTTATTTTTTTACTTGTATGGGCAAGCTGCAAGAATGAAGTCGACTATCTCAGTCTTTGTCTTGACGAGCTGGACGGCTCTTGCGAGTACGTCTGTTTTGCGGTCTCCAGCTGGTGTTTGACCTTCGTAATTGCGCATGTTCTTGAGAGCTCCAACTGTAAATGGCTGTAAGATGAAGAGTCTCTCAGACTGCTTGAGGTAGTCTTCACGGTCACGAACCGAATCTGTGGTACGAGTCGAATTGGTCGACTTTAGGGAAGAGACTGAAAGCCTGTCATCTTCCATAGGGGCTGTGGCATACTCTTTGCGTAAACGGTTCAGACCTTCCTCGAACTCTTGGTCTCTCTTGGATTGAGATTGGAATTGGAATTGGGGTGGAGGGTTTGACATGAACATCCAAGGGTTAGGGCAGTAAGGCATAGGCTGAGGAGGGTAGTTCGGGAAGCCTTGTGGTGGGTAGTAACATTGAGGTGGAAATTGGTAGTAATTTGGTGGAGGTACTTGCTGGAACTGAGGTTGCTGAGGTGCAGGGGCTGGTGCTTTAGGTTCCTCTGGTTTGGGAATGGACTCGGTTAGTGGGACGTCGGACATTGTCTTGAAACAATAAAAGACTTGTCTTGAAAAAGTAAAAGACTTGTCTTGAAAAAGTAAAAGACTTGTCTTGAAAAAGTAAAAGACTTGTCTTGAAAAAGTAAAAGACTTGTCTTGAAAAAGTAAAAGACTTGTCTTGAAAAAGTAAAAGACTTGTCTTGAAAAAGTAAAAGACTTGTCTTGAAAAAGTACGGGTATCGTCTTCAATCAAGACCACTGTTCTCAAATTTGAGAACTTTACACCAAAAAATTTCTTGAAAAATAACGGGTCTTGTCTTGAAAAAGTAAAAGACTTGTCTTGAAAAAGTAAAAGACTTGTCTTGAAAAAGTAAAAGACTTGTCTTGAAAAAGTAAAAGACTTGTCTTGAAAAAGTAAAAGACTTGTCTTGAAAAAGTAAAAGACTTGTCTTGAAACAATAAAAGACTTGTCTTGAAAAAGTAAAAGACTTGTCTTGAAACAATGACCGACATAGACCCAGCAGATGAGGCAATCTACCTTATAGAGATAAATGAGCTAGTTAGGAACTACCTGAGCCATCTGAAGTCAAACAAGACCATTGCAGGCTGGGTGTCTGGAAGAGGTGCGCTTAAAATTGAAATTGACACCGGAATTGTCCTGCAAATACCAGAAAACACTCCTGTAGACGACATAAAAGAGATGAAGAAAGAAACCCTCTTGAAGTTCTTTGCAAAGCGTCCGTGGATACAACTTCCAAACAGAGAGAACCCAACTGTACGAATTGCCCAAATTCTCAGAGGACTCTTACACTTCTCGGGTCAGGCGTTCTTCATAAACACAGAAGGCGACATCGTACCTTTACAGTAAACATCTATATGGCACGCTTTGAGTAAAAACATTTTTTTCATTTTTTGAATGAAGCAAGTTAAATTCGTCCCACACCAAACTCAATGGACCGATGAAGAGTTTCAAGCTATGGTTGAAGGTGTTGAGAACGACATAGACGGCGAACTTGAAGGAGCTCAAATCACAATTGCAACCAAAATTGCAGAAGTCAAGGAACAGATAGCTCCACTTAAAGCTACCAAAGCTACTCTTGACCTCATGGATAGTTACCGTTTAGATGTCAAGAGTGGAATAAGACAATTAAAATTAAAACTTCTAAACTACGAAGCTATACTCCAAAAGTTAGCAGAAATGAGAAGACTTTACCAGAGCTACTTACATGTAAGGGACTTACCTTCAAGCAATCCGACCAAAGATGAATTTGTTGACATTGTCCCAATTTTGTCCGAAAGTCAGCTCAGATGTTTCGAACTGCTCCCAACATATCCAGAATATGAACGTTTGCCTGAACTCTTCCGCAATCTCAAAAAACGTTTTTTGGTTCTCATGTTCGAAACTTTTATCGGAAGAGACAACAAACGTTCAGAAGAAGAACAAGATATTATTTTAAACTTGTTGTATGACTTAACCGTCATAACAAGCTTTTTGAAGTAAAACCGTCATTCTCAAACCACTTCATTTTTTCGATGTCCGAACAAGCACCGAAGCCAAACTCAATGGCAGATGTCCTTTCAAGGTTGCCAGACAAGCGCCCAGTTCAAATTCAAATTGCCCAATTGAACGCTCATCTGACAACCACCATTAAGACTATCCAAAGTAGTCTTATGGAAGAGATAACCAATCTCAAAGTCGAAGTCCTCACGAACCAAGCTTCCAATAAGAAAGTCCTGAACGATTTCGCGGAAACCTTGCGCCAATACAACAAAGAGAACCAAAACCTTGCCAGACTCATCTACCGTTTCTTCGAAGAGATAGACGCCATCTGGAAGGTACTCGGAAAGGACAGAACATGCAACACCGTACTTCGTGAGTACCAAATTGAAGAAGGAATTTTCGAGGAAGAAGAGAAACACGAAGAAGAAGAGGAAGAAGAAGAGAAACACGAAGAAAAGGAAGTTTGGGCAACCCTTGTTGCGATGACAGTTATGAAATTTCCCAACCCTACCCATACAAAATCCGCAACAGGAGACCGGCAAGGTTCTTACCCCAGTCCTCAACAACTTGGGACACTTGAGCCTTACCTTCGGAATTACGGTACAATTTCCATGGGAAGGCTTGTCGGTATGCAATGGGTTCCAAATCCAAACAAGAAGACGAAGGTCAGACACATTGACGGTGACAAGCTCAACAACCGTAAGGAGAACCTCGAGTGGTTCTAAGAGTAAAAAAATTTTATTTTAGGGGGAAACCCCGAGTAAATTTAAGTTTAGTTGGATAAGTAGCTTAAATTAAGGTAATTTGGAAATTAGTTCCTGACCTCTGAATTGGACTCTTTCGTCATCCCAGTTGCGTAGGAGGTCGTCCCAGAGGAGTTGGTAGAATTGCCAATCCAAGGACGATTTGTCCTCCCAGGCATTGAGGATGTACTGCTCGTAGAGTCTCATGACCTCTGCCTTGCACCAGACACCCTCTCCCTTGGAACGTAAGGCTTCTTCGAAGTGCTCGAATGCGATTGGCTGCGGGACCATCTGAAATGACACTTTTTGTCCGTTTGGTCAATGTTCGTGTCTCGTGCCATAGTCGACGAAAATACAAACAAACAGGTTATATATGAGTTTGAGACCAAGAATAACTCGACTGTAAATTCAAATTCGAATAAAAATTTTTTATTTCATGCAATGTTTTATTTCTGTGCCGTCTTCAAGTACCCCAGTACTTACGCTTGGAGAGGACATGAACTTCGGTGAAAATTTTGTCCAATTTGAATTGACCCATCTTTTCACCGACTCCCATTTCAATGAGTTTGTTATAGCCTTCTTCGTTCGTCATGAGTGCGTCAATGTTCTCATAGTAACCACTTTGGATTTGACTTCGGAGAAGAATTTGTTGTAGTTGTCAAGGACTGCCTTTGCGAACTGAGGGTAAGACCAATGTTCGACAATAGGTTTTACTGTGGTTACTAAGCCATTTTGACCTTGAGTGAATTCGTATTTCAAAACAAAAGGAGAAAACCTTTCAACAAAGTTGTCGACCTTCTCATAGTGTTTACTCTTCATCTTTGAGGTTTCTTAATGGAATATCCCCATGTCGAATTCATAAGCAATTTGAGTGTCATTGCAAGTTTGGGGTTTGAAGCTTTCCTAATATCATACAGTTGTTGTATGACTTTTCCAACTGTATAGTTCCTTCCCGGGAACTCACCATCTTCGTTTGGAATTCCAGTCGGAATATATTGGACAAACCTCATGTACGCAGCGTTAAGGTCGACATAGTATATTTTTCATCTGAGTCGAACTTGTCGCATCCAATCGGTCCAGTTCGTGGAAATTCAAGTGAGTCTCTTATCTTCTGAGAAACTTCTCCTGTTATCTCATAAACATCGTCGAAGCAACCTGTTTCATATAAAACCTTCTGACCTAACTCAGATGCTCTCCAATACAATTTGACGTCGATTGGATGTCTCAATGGAAGTTTGTTTATAGCATCTTGAAGTTCTTGCAACCTCATTGGAAGTTCTTCTGGTTCAGGTTGGTATCCGAACAATCCAACTCCTTTTGGAACTGTGTACTTCTTTTGTGCTATAACTTTGTCTGGAACAACTTTTGGTCTTGCTAACAATGAAAAGTTTGTTTCGTCTTTTGGTACAAAAGTTTCTGTCAGCTTGTCATCTGGAATTGGTTCCAACAAACCTTTCTCGAAAAGAATGTTAACAGCTCTGACAATGTTGCACTTGCCTTTTCCGAACAATGGGTTTGTAAGACTTTCGTTCAACATGAAGTGGTTGTGGACAATTACAATCTTCAACCATGGTAAGTCTTTGTCAACAACATAGTCGTCATGTGAAGAACCTTTAGCTGTAGGTATGTTGACTCGGATATTGACATTTGCCAACGGTGCAATTTTTGACAATTGACCTCTGAGCATGTACCTTGTTTTCACACATGACTCAAGATACTTCATTTTCTCATCTGTAACAAGACCAGAGTTCCTGAGACATGTAAGAATACAAGGTTCATTGACAATTGTTTCAATTGAATTGTAAATTCCATACCTTGTCAGGTTAATGTCAGACTTATTTCTGAACGGGAAGTATCCAGCATGTTGTCTGACTGCTTGAGGGTTAGGTTGGTACCATTCAAACTTCACGCTTGCAATTCCTTCAATTGCATTCAAAATATCTGAGTCGGAGTCAAACATTTGTTCTCTCTTTGTAGTCTTGAAAGCGTCAAGAAGTTGTGCGGCTGTTGTGACATTGCCATGTGCATAGTAAATATGACCATCCAAATCTGTTACGGTTAGTCTGAGATTGTATCCTTTCTTATTTCCGTCTTGAATTGCAGCAAGTACACCCATGAAGCCTTCTTTGTTCTTTCCTTCTTCAAAATTTACTGTAAAGGTTCGACCAGAAGTAATTTTACTTCTAACTTCACGATACTTCTCATATGCATATCTTGTTCTTTCCATGGGAGCATGTGCGTCTTCACCCTTCCCTTTTTTCCGTCTCAAAGGATGCAATTGTTCGTCATGTTTCCAGTAGAATCTGGCAAAGCCGTCGTGTCCTTCAACTTGAGGTTCACTAACATCGAAAGGCATGTCCATAAGACGTTCTTCTTCTAACCTCTCTAATCTGTTTGGATAATTTGCGCGTGCTGTTTCTAGGTCCATTTCATAGCGAAGACCAGACAATTTGTCATAGACTTTTATGGGTCTTCCCTTCCTATATTTAAACTTCTTTGAAACTCTCCAACCATATCTTTCTAACTCTGCTTTTATTCTAGCAGACCTTCTGTCCATTCTATATGGGGGCATTTCTATAAAAATAAAAAAATGTTTTTTCTTTACTTTACATAACCACCGGCTGCCATAAGTCTTTGACGCCAACCCATACCAGCTAATGAAGGTTGACTTGGTTTAGTTTGGAAACTAACCTTTGGTTTTGGTTTATCTTCAGTTTTTGGTTTCTCTTCTTCTATTGGTTTTTCGTCACTTTTCGGTTCATCTGACTTTACCTCACTTGCAGGTTCAGTTGTGTCGTCAACATCTTCATAAATGTCATATGCCATTTGTTTCTGTTTTCCTTTCAACTTTTTGTGTTTGTTGTAAAGTTTAGAATATTTCGACTCTAAGTCAATGAGATGTTCTATAATGAACTGTTGGTCAGTGAAGTAAACTTTTCCATCTGTTGTCTCGAAAATTCCTTCAGACTTCAATATTTTATTTGTGAGAGTCTGTTTCTTTTTTGAGATACTTGCCGTTCCATTTTTATGAAAAGTGACTTTGTAGTTAGGGTTTGTATTTCCCGACCTCACACTTTCTATTATTGAATTTTTCTCTTCATCTGTAAGTTCTTTGACAGGTTTTGACAATGGTTCTGAACTTTTTGTTTGTGGTGTCAAATCTACCGTTTCAACTTCTTCGGTCATTTCATCTCAGTAAAAAATTTTAGTTTGGTTTGTTTTCAACTGGTTGTTGAGGTTTTTTAAGTCGGTCTAAAACTTCTTGAGGTATAGGAAGAACTTGACAAACACGTGGTTGTGTAACTGCTGGAAGCCGACAAAGCCATCTTGAGCCCATTTGTCTCAAAGCTGTATTGTTCATTTCATCTCAGTAAAAAAATTTACATTCCCCACGTTTGAGGCGGTTGCGGTTGGTTGTTGTTTACCCACTGTTGTGCATGGTTATATCCTCTGTTAAAGAATCTTTCACCTTGGTCCATATAGTGTCCTGCTTGGTTATAGTAGTCATTTGCTTTGTTATAATAGTTTCCTGCTTGTCTTCCTACATTGTCCATCCATCCTTGAACTTTTCCTCTTGTTTCAGGATTTGGAATAAGATTTGCTGCATCTCGTGCTACCTCCCAACCTTTCTGTACAGTTTGTATAATAGGTTGTGCTTTCTCTTTCAGTATACCTAATGTACTCAAAATCTTCCTTCCAATTCCAAATGCACCTCTGGCTAGTGTTCCCACTGCGGGCAAAAATCTAGATGCGACTCCTGCTAATGCGCCAAATAAACCCATTTCTTATGGGTTAAAAATGACGAATTCAAACAAGGACCCGTATGTTTCTAAAGCGACAAAGAAAGCACTCATGGTAAAAATCTTTAGTTCAACACCAAATGCTTGGTTTATGGATATCTTGGAAAACATTCCGAGAGTTAGAACAGATGGACCACCATACTGGCTAATATTTGTCGGTCAAAACACAAGATACTGTGAAGCCATACCATTACAGTCCAAAAATATTTTAGATGTGAAAACTGCTTTGACAATATTCGTTGACAAATACCATCCAACAAAACTGACATCTGACTGTGAAAGTTCTTTCAAATCAGACGATATTAAAAACTATCTGCGTTCAAAAAATGTAAACCAATATTTCATTGTCGACCAAAACCATTCTGCTCTTGGTGTCATTGACAGTTGTATAAAAATCTTAAGAGACTTAAACCAACCACAAGGTGGTGAAGCAAATGAAATGTCATATGACGACAAGTATAGACATTTCTCCATGGCAAAGATGAGACAAGTTTTAAATATTTACAATAGCCGTAAACAAAAAGGTTTGGGAAACCACTCCCCCGAAGAAATGAAAAACAACCCCGACTTAGAGAAAGACTATATATTTAATAGTTTAGTCAAAAGAGACAAACAAGAAAGAATGCCAGGCTTCAAACTTAAGAAAGGTGACAAAGTAAAAATAGAAATACCTAAACGCGACCCATATGAAAATACTATTGACTATGACAACAATGGGAACTCGACAGGTACTCACGTTCGTGTTCGTAAAAATAGAAGAAAGTATACAAGAGAATATTATGAAGTTTTAGGCAAACATGGCAAAATGTACACTGCAAGCAGAAGATAAAACTACTATTGTCAGACCTCGTTTCAAACTTGTCAAAGTTCAAGGTGGTATACTTTCAAAGACAGTTCCTAACAAATATAAGACAACTCCTGACGAATATGCTAAAGAAGTTGAAAATGACGACTAAGCATTTCTATACCATGCGTAAACTGTCATGTAAGGTGGCATGTAGTCTTTACTTGTCCCGTTGTTTGCGTATACCCTGAAACGCGATGTATATGGTTTCCTCCTCCCTCAGTGTTACTCCAGTAACAATCTATAGCAAACTTAACGTTGTTTTTAACATCATATCCTTTACCTTTTGTCATTGATGACCAATCCCAATATCTATGACTATGCCAACCTGCGTTAGTTGTACTTAAATCTATGTAGTGACTGTGCGCAGGTAAATTTGCACCTGAAATCGTTTTACTTCCACCTGTTTCCTTTGAAGAGTTTGCACAATACAAAAACCTGTCGACTATTTGAGTCCAAGTTCCAAAACCAAATACTACTTCTGGTCTGGTAGAGTTCATTGACGTGTAAATAGAACCTATAGGATATAGTGTTTGAAGTATTTCTGTCTTTAACGTTTGAAGCTCTGTTTTGTCAGCTTTTTTATCATATAAATCTTGAGCAGTGAATTTAACTTTTTTTTCATCCTCCATGACATAGACATTTCTACATCTAATGTCTTTATCCGATGTTAAACCTTCTGGAAAGTTAGGAGGTTTAAAATATAATCCACCCCCACCAGTTTCTTCAATCGTTCCTAAAATACTTTCTATACCAACAGTTGAGAAGAAGGTATGTGTATGTCCAACGTCACTTTTCTTGTTTAAGGTTTCTTGTAAGTTTGTAATATTTGCAATGGTATGTGTATGGTTCTTGTCAGCTTTGCCATCTAACTTTTCTTGTAAGTTTGTAATATTTGCAATGGTATGTGTATGGTTCTTATCCGCTTTAAGGTCTAAACATCCTGAAACCCACCCTGTATTGGCTTTACCTTCTAAAATCTTCGATGTCCGTTCATGGTACCATTCAACCCTTTTTATAATTTCATTGTCTTTTTCATCCACATATTCCTTATTTGCCTTCTTCACTAACCCACTAGCCAGATATGCTAACTCATCGTCAACATACTCTTTGTCAGCTTTCTTTTCAACATCCTCTTTCGTTGCATATGTTGCATCTGCTCTGTCATGTTCTTCTTGAACTTTTTCAATGACATACTCTTTGTCAGCTTTGTTGTCAACATCTGCTTTCAAAAGAAGTTCTTTTATAGGTTTCTCGTTTAAAGTTCCTTTTGTTGGATTTATACAAACAGTATGGTTCTTACTGTCTTGAAATAGAAACTCGTCTGTCATTGGGTTTATCGTCAGTTTTAAGTTTCCTTCTTTCAATGACTCAGATATCTTAGAATAGTTTGAAAAGTTTGTTGTGTTCTTATTTAGAGCTTGCAAAATGAGTTGTCGGTTGTGTTGTATTTCTCTCATAGACCCTGTTTCATTTGACATTTTTATTCTAGATAAAATATGCTTTCAATAGAAAAAGAAAATTCAAGAGTTGCTACAACTAAACCATTAGATGAACTTTTTACTAATGTCGGTCAAAAGTTTGAGACAGAGACCGTAAAGCATGAAGGCTATCGTTTTGACTACCCATTGAGATGGTTAAGAGACCCATCCGTCACAAAAGCTGTTGGCTTTCGTAGAATGAAGTTCATTTCAGAAGCCATACATGGTTTCCCATTTACGGTCGGTTTTGAAATTCGATACTATAACAAAGAAAAACGTACGTATGAGAAATTTGAACAGGGAAAACTTTTACAAGTTAGTTTGCTTGTAAACTTAGAAACAACTCTTCAAGCTTTTCAAGAAAAAAAAAACGATATCTATCTCGAATATGCAAAACAGTACAACATTGACGAAGGAGAGTACCATCTCGATATTATATATGACAGGAAAAATGCAACTGTTAAAATCAATAGAATAGAAGACCTTGGAGAAGACGTTTATATTTCTACAAAATATAACAACTTGGCATGGTATAGATTTTTGAGGATGTTAAATCAGCCTGCAGAATATCCAGTACACCCGAACTTTTATGAAGTCGAAAACCTAATGGAACATATGAAAATGTTTTCGACTCAGATGCTATTATAGTTCATGCTTCATTTTCTGGCGCCCAAAACTCTTTTTATGCTTGGCAAATGACTTTACGAAAAACCTACAAAGCTATACGAACCACCAAGTGGAAGTATTTCAGACTTTCAAAGTATGGTTTACTACAGATGGAAGAAAGAGAATAATTCCATTATACCACGCGTTTTACTTAGAACTTAGTTTCATATACAACTACTATCGAACGGTAAAAATATAATTTTTAATACGGTTGAGGTGTTGGATTTGGTTGCCAACTAGACTGTGGTGCAGGTTCAGGCTGTTGTATAACAGGAGCTTGTTCTTCTGGTTCAGGTCTTTAGGTATAATACCAACGAACTGACCTACTCTTTTGCCAATATTTTGACTCCGTTCCAAATTCCTTTTCCTACGGTTTTGACGCCATTCCATATACCTCTTCCAACATTTCGAAAGAAGTTTCCTATTCTTCCAAAGAACCCATTTTACTATATGTAAAAATCTAATGTCCACCTAGTCTCTTACGTTTCCTGTTGAGTTCCATAGCATTTTTTAACTGGAGCTCATACATTCTATTTCTCCTCTGGTAGAAAACATACTCGGTCAACTCCTGTGTTCGCGTCATCTGCATAGAGTTGTTTATATCCCACTTCAGGGTTTGTATAAAACTCTTTCCATCTCATATTTGCATACCATGGTGGCAAACCTAACGCAGCGTCATTTGACATGGCAGTTTGCATTTGTACATCTGTTGGCACTTGACCATAGTTTGCCATTGCAGTTTGTATTCTAACTTCATTTGGAATATTCTCTGGGTTTGGTTGTCCAGGTTGCTGTGCATTCGCTAAGTTCTGTGCGTCCATTTAATATTAGATAAAAATATCTCTTACGAGTACATATACTGAACATTTGCAGACATTGGTTCATCTTCATATTCTCTGTACTTTTCTGCCACGTCAAATAAGTAAATGACACAATGGAAAAAACCTAAAACAAGTAGTCCTATTTCAAACCACATTTACTTACCAAAAAATTTCTTTGTTGTGACACTTTCTCCAGTTTATAGGACCTCTCTCATATATCTATCTTATCGTATCTAAACTCATAGTCATGTATGTCCTCTAACCATCTCATAACGTTTCCAAACCACTTTTATCGGATGTAAAGTAAAAGCATGGATGGTTATGTAAAACGTCTAAAGTTTCTAAAGAGTCTCTCAAAGTCCAGTCTACTTGGTATTGAAAATCCCATGTGTTATAGAACGGCGGGTCTACTATAAAGAAAACATTTTCCTTGTCTTTGTATTTTTCATACAACTCTGTCCAACGACATCTCACAAACTCTATACCCTCAGTATATTTTTCTATGTTCTCTTTGAAAACCTTTGTATAGTTAAAGATAAAACTTTTGACATAAGTGTTTCAATGTCATGAACTCTTATAGCACCACTATATAATAGTCTAGAAGATATACTATCCCAGTCAATATACTCTGCTTTTTTCAAAACCTCTCTGACAGTATTTTTCTTATCTAATGGTATACGTTCCATCTTACCTATAGGTATCTTTTCTTTTAACTCTTTCAATATTTTGTTTGTGTCTGGTATATGTTTGAGACGGTTCATATAGTTGTCGAAGTCATTGCATATAATCTTTGAGTCAGGAAATACAGTATGGCACAAATGAGATATATAGAAACTTCCACCGAACAAATCTACAAATGTTAGACCATTCGGTAGTTTCTTAAGTTCTCTCAATAGAATATCTTTACATCTACTCTTATTTCCAAAGAAGGGTAACGGTGGTTTTGTAAAATTCATTTTATATATATATAATAAAAATGTTTTTACCTGAAAAGTGACAGAAAAGTGACAAAACATGAAAACATATATATTTTGTGAAAAGCTCCTGGAAGACCCGTATATAAGAACTTCATTTATACTAAACATCTTCAGGGGCTAGAGGGGCGCAGCCCTGGAAGCCCCACTAACTTTTTTTTTTTTAATGTATAAATAAATAAATAATAAAAAAACTTCATTGATACCATAAACTAAAGAAAAAAATAATGATTCAGATAGGGCTGTACAAGATTTAAAAAAACATTGCCGGGTTACCGTAGAGGCCTAAAAAAATCGCGCCTCGGCGGCAAGCCGCCTCGGCATTAAGAATGCGCATCTAAATTTTTATATGTCCTTCTTTCTTTTATTTTTCCCTTCCCTTTCTTTTCTTTTTCTTTTTTCCCCTCCTCTTGCTCTCATTTACCTTTTTTTCCTTTTCTCATCATTTTTCAAAATTTAAAATTTTTATCAAAAATCTTGCCTATAAAAGCAGACTATGGAACCTTTTAATGCCTCTTAATCAATATTATACATGCATGTATTGTTTAATATTAACTTTTCTGTACATTAAATATGATATCTCCAAAGTATGAATGCCTTGTAACGAAACGAAAACTTAATTTTATGTTGAATATTTGTCACAAACATTAGATTATTAAAATATATGTTGGATATCCCTTAGTATGAGACTTCATGACTCTTGTTGTCTAACGTGAGCTTTGGATTGCAAGCTCTGTGGTTAACGAACATAAATTAATTGTAAAGTTTTCAAAAATTTTCATTGTTTCTATCAGCATCTATTTTTCCTTTAAAATAATATATTTGTATGAATACAATATTTAGTAATTTTTTTATTTCCCATAATTTCATTCAAAATTTCAGAAAAAATTAATTTCTATTCAATATTATTTCAGCTTCAAAACACTTCATTCTTATAGATGTTGATTCACTAAAGTGTGATTCTATTTATATGAGGTAGGGGCATGAGGCTCGGCAAGTCTTATTGCTTTTTACCTCAATTTAGGTATTAAATGATTATAATGATTCATAGTGGCCGCTGCTGACTGGCCATCAGCAGTCCCCTGGCCAAGATTAATATAGGGTGTCCAAAGGTGTGTTTAGCACAAACCTGAATACTGCGAATAGAAATAAACAAGTTACATATATATAAAGTTTATTTAAATATAATCACCATTGGATTCAATCACGCGTTCGCAGCGATCGATCCAGGCTTGAAAGACACGCTTTAAATCATCATGAGAAAATTGCTCAAATTGCTCTCTTACAAAATTTTCAAGATCATCTGGACTCGCGAATTCGCGTCCTTCAGCTCTCTTTTTAGCGTGCCGAATAAATAAAAGTCAGAGGGTGCAATATCAGGTGAATAAATTGGGTTTGGAACAACTTTGACATTTTTTTCACCAAGTAATTCATTACCTTATGACTTTTGTGAACTCTTGAATTATCAAAATGAATTGCAAACTTTTGTTTTTGTTGTTTGGATTTCTCAAACTCATCAGAATTGATAATTTGAGTAAGAACATTGTCAATTAGATACTGAGCATTCATCGTATTAGGTTTTTGAAGAATATCAATTGCGATGATGCCATTCACGCCCCAAAAAACCGACAACATCATCATTGGTGTGTCAATTTTTTTCTTCGGGAATGTTTGCGGATTTTCATCCTTCGGGATCCACATGATTTTGGCTTCTGTTGCATATTGAAACAAAGACTCGTCCCCTGTTACTAAAAAGCGAAACTTCTTGGATTGATACGCACCCAATATAGAGAGGAGCTCTTTCGAAGATTGGACTCTAGATTTTTTTTGAACTGAATTAAGGTTGTGCGGAACCCAACGTGTATACGCTAGTTTGTAGTTCAAATAATTGTGCAGATAATAACTGACTGTTGTACGTGGTATCTTTGTCATCTCCTCTATCCTTCTGAGTGATGCTCTTGGGTCTTCATCTAGCGCTTGAAGAATTGCTTTGATTTTTCTTTGATCCGGCGATTTTTTGTCAATTTTTATGATGGGCGCTTTTTTGTTCATGAAGTGATACATCCTAATATGATACGTTACAGTGGAATAGCTAGGAGCATCCATACCGAAGCATTTTACCAATGTCTCGTAGATTTTTTACAGTCTTTGCATTTTTTTGCAAGAGCGCGGATGTTTTCTTTATGATTCATTAAAAAATGAAAAAAATCCCGCCAAAATTTCCCGCGAAACCGCCTCTTGTCTCAAAATTCATTTTATATCCCGGCATGGCGCCAAAATACAACTTACTCATCATATACATATATTCATATTTTTTATTATATATTTATAATCAGCATATATCTCCTTTAATAGTCTCATATAGAGCGCTGTGCTAAACGCACCTTTGGACACCCTATATAATTATTTAATACTTATCCAGTTTTACATCAATAACAACAAAGCTAATCAATCATCATTCAGAAATGCGGGAAATTACTACTAATATTAAAGATTGATAGACATTAGGCTGGCCACCTTCTGTCTAATATCTTTACGAATAAAAATAATACTTTTTAAAACAAATTATTTAATAAATTTTATTAAAAAACAAAATCAAATATCAAATTGATCATCATTCAACTTGATGAAGAAGTGGCATGCTACATATTCTTCTTTGCATGATTCGTTCATTGAATTTCTTGTCTTTCGCAATTCAGATATTACACGTTCTACATCTGCTTCACTGCACGAAAGTGACATCATCCTTTTTCCAATTGGTCTTATTGCTTTTAGTTGCTTTATGCCATTCATGTACCAAAACTTGCCATCATTTTGAGCAAGATGATGACCATTTATAAGATGGGAATCATCTTGCTCTATGAAGAAATCGTAAGCATCACTCAATTCCTTGCTCTATCGTCTTTATTGATCGTTGGATCAACTGTTGATTCGGCAATTGCTCTTTGTCTGAGGATTGTTATCATGAATGTGTATAGATCTTTTATCTCTTCATCTACAACATCCCAGACCAAGGAATTCCTCGAACCATCGGCATTTGTTTCGGCTGCATGATCGTCGTTAAGCATTTGTTCCTCTTCTGCTTGCTGGATCTCTTCATCATGCTCGGCTACCTCATCAACACGTTCTGTTCGTTCTTCTTCAAGGATTTCGCCGAGTTTCTCAAATGTGATCTCGCGATTGATGATCCTCAGGGAAGGAATCGTTGGGACTTGCACATCTTTCAACTGCATTATAGGTGGATAGCTTGTCTTTCCTCCAAAACCCTTCTTGTCTCTGATGATCTTTCTTGCTAACGGTGTAAAGCCGAAAGCAAACCGAAGCAAATCAATTCTACCATATTCTTTCATATCATTTTTGAATATTGTAGTGATTGATCGGAGAATCTCTTCACCATCTGGCGTTAATCTTCCTGCCATTTCATCCAACATCCCTTGGCACTGTTGTATCATCAGGAATGCATAAGCACCCATGGACTTGTTGGATTCCAGCCATAATTGAAGTTGCTTTCTTATATACGAAAAAAAGAGATCTGACGTTGTGTCAGATCTCAGTAAAAGTGACATTTACATGTCAAAAAAATATAATGAGTTTAAGTAATTAAAATTGAGGGTGAGAGTAGTATTGTATGAAATAATATCTCTCACCCTCCAATTCATTCTATGGCGCCGAAAAAATTTTGGTGAAATGCGACCACATTTCACCAAAATTTCTCTGCGCCATATAGAGAACTAGAGCCTGTGAGGTACTGATACTATCCATGTACCTCACAGGCTCTAGTTCCAAGCCAAAATGGCTAAAAATTGCCCGCAATTGTTCACATTGCGGGCAATTTTTAGCCATTTTGGCTGGGAATTGGAGGGTGAGAGTAGTATTGTATGAAATAATATCTCTCACCCTCCAATTCATCCAAAGGCTAATATTTTCTACATTTCCATAACATTCATTTCAACGGAAACTCATTCAAAATTCTATATATTTAATTTTTCAATCTTTTTCAATTTCATATTCAAAATTAATTTGAATTACATTCAAAACATTTATACCTTATTAATAACATAATATCATTTGTTATCAATATACCAATTCGGCTGTTCTAATTTTGGATTCCCATTCATAAATTGATCAATCTATATTGAAACCTATTCAAATTATTTTCTTATTGATAACATTTTATTTTTATTTGTCTTCAACTATTCATTTATTTTATCATTATTTTTCGATTTTTTTTTAGTTTCAAATTTTTTATTATCTTTATTGTTTTTTATTTTTCTAATTTTTAAAAATTTCTGCTTAGAATCTTAATCTCATTTTATTTTTCAATAAAAATTCATGTTTACCAATATTCAATCACTTTTCTCGTTCCCCAAATTTTTATTAAAAAAAAAAAAGGTAGTGGGGCTTCCAGGCGCGTTGCGCCCTCTAGCCCTGAAGATGTTTAGTATAAATGAAGTTTTTTTTTTCTTGGGATGGGCTTCCAGGCGCGTTGCGCCCTCTAGCCCATAAAAAATTTTTGAGAGTCGTCGTTGTTGACTTTTTTGTAGAGCACTCAAAATAGTATAACTTTGTCCGGACAAGTAAGGGTCTAACGTCGCTACAGGAAAAGTTACGGGCGTTCCAAGGAAGTATACTTTGAGAGACTCTTTAGAAACTTTAGACGTTTTACATAACCATCCATGCTTTTACTTTACATCCGATAAAAGTGGTTTGGAAACCGTTATGAGATGGTTAGAGGACATACATGACTATGAGTTTAGATATGACAAGATAGAATATGAGAGAGGTCCTATAAACCGGAGAAAGTGTCACAATAACGAAATTTTATTAGTAAGTAAATGTGGTTTGAAATCGGATTGTTAGTTTTAGGTTTTTTCCATTGTGTCATTTATTTCTTTGACGTGGCAGAAAAGTACAGAGAATATGAAGATGAACCAATGCCTGCAAATGTTCAGTATATGTACTCGTAAGAGATATTTTTATCTAATATTAAATGGACGCACAGAACTTAGCGAATGCACAGCAACCTGGACAACCAAACCCAGAGAATATTCCAAATGAAGTTAGAATACAAACTGCAATGGCAAACTATGGTCAAGTGCCAACAGATGTACAAATGCAAACTGCCATGTCAAATGACGCTGCGTTAGGTTTGCCACCATGGTATGCAAATATGAGATGGAAAGAGTTTTATACAAACCCTGAAGTGGGATATAAACAACTTTATGCAGATGACGCGAACACAGGAGTTGACCCAGAATATGTTTTCTACCAGAGGAGAAACAGAATGTATGAGCTCCAGTTAAAGAATGCTATGGAACTCAACAGGAAACGTAAGAGACTAGGCGGACATTAGATTTTTACATATAGTAAAATGGGTTTCTTTGGAAGAATAGGAAACTTCTTTCGAAATGTTGGAAGAGGTATATGGAATGGCGTCAAAACCGTAGGAAAAGGAATTTGGAACGGAGTCAAAAATATTGGTAAAAGAATAGGTCAGTTTGTTGGTATTATACCTAAAGACCCTGAACCAGAAGAACAAGCTCCTGTTATACAACAGCCTGAACCTGCACCACAGTCTAGTTGGCAACCAAATCCAACACCTCAACCGTATTAAAAAATTATATTTTTACCGTTCGATAGTAGTTGTATATGAAACTAAGTTCTAAGTAAAACGCGTGGTATAATGGAATTATTCTTTTTCTTCCATCTGTAGTAAACCATACTTGAAAGTCTGAAATACTTCCACTTGGTGGTTCGTATAACTTTGTAGGTTTTTCGTAAAAGTCATTTGCCAAGCATAAGAAAGAGTTTTGGGCGCCAGAAAATGAAGCATGAACAATAATAGCATCTTGGTCGAAAACATTTTCATATGTTCCATTAGGGTTTTCGACTTCATAAAAGTCTGGGTGTACTGGATATGCTGCAGGCTGATTTAACATCCTCATAAATCTATACCATGCCAAGTTGTTATATTTTGTAGAAATATAAACGTTTTCTCCAAAGTCTTCTATTCTATTGATTTTAACAGTTGCATTTTTCCTGTCATAAATAATATCGAGATGGTACTCTCCTTCGTCAATGTTATACTGGTTTGCATATTCGATATAGATATTGTTTATTTTTTCTTGAAAAGCTTGAAGAGTTGTTTCTAAGTTTACAAGCAAACTAACTTGTAAAAGTTTTCCCTGTTCAAATTTCTCATACATACGTTTTTCTTTGTTATAGTATCGAACTTCAAAACCGACCGTAAATGGGAAACCATGTATGGCTTCTGAAATGAACTTCATTCTACGAAAGCCAATAGCTTTTGTGACAGATGGGTCTCTTAACCATCTTAATGGGTAGTCAAAACGATAGCCTTCATGCTTTACGGTCTCTGTCTCAAACTTTTGACCGACATTAGTAAAAAGTTCATCTAATGGTTTAGTTGTAGCAACTCTTGAATTTTCTTTTTCTATTGGAAGCATATTTTATCTAGAATAAAAATGTCAAATGAAACAGCGTCTATGAGAGAAATACAACACAACCGACAACTCATTATGCAAGCTCTAAATAAGAACACAACAAACTTTTCAAACTATTCTAAGATATCTGAGTCATTGAAAGAAGGAAACTTAAAACTGACATTAAACCCAATGACAGATGAGTTTCTGTTTCAAGACAATAAGAACCATACTGTCTGTATAAATCCAACAAAAGGAACTTTAAACGAGAAACCTATAAATGAACTTCTTTTGAAAACAGATGTTGACAACAAAGCTGACAAAGAATATGTAGACGATGCAATAGCAAAGAAGAAGAAAGAGCTAACAATGCTTATGCAACAAAAGAACATACTCATCCTGAACTAGCAGACAAAACATATGTTGACAATAAAATGTCAAGTGAAGTGACGAGAGCTGAAAACGAATATTCTAAAAAGACTCATACACATTCTATATCTGAAATAACAGACTTACAAGAAACCTTAAACAGTAAAAGTGCCGTTGGACATACACCATTTGTTTTTGTTTTCTTTAACTTTGTGTTTGTTGTAAAGTTTAGAATATTTCGACTCTAAGTCAATGAGATGTTCTATAATGAACTGTTGGTCAGTGAAGTAAACTTTTCCATCTGTTGTCTCGAAAATCCTTCAGACTTCAATTATTATTTGTGGAGAGTCTGTTTTCTTTTGAGATACTTGCCGTTCCATTTTTTGAAAAGTGACTTTTTTAGTTAGGGTTTGTATTTCCCGACCTCACTTTCTATTATTGAATTTCTCTTCATCTGTAAGTTCTTTGACAGGTTTTGACAATGGTTCTGAACTTTTTGTTTGTGGTGTCAATCTACCGTTTCAACTTCTTCGGTCATTCACTCTCAGTAAAAAATTTTAGTTTGGTTTGTTTTCAACTGGTTGTTAGGTTTTTTAAGTCGGTCTAAAACTTCTGAGGTATAGGAAGAACTTGACAAAACACGTGCGTGTGTAACTGCTGGAAGCCGACAAACCATTTTGACTCATTGTTCTCAAGCTGTATTGTTCATTTCATCTCAGTAAAAAACTTTACATTCCCCACGTTTGAGGCGGTTTGGGTTGGTTTTTGTTTACCCATGTTGTGCATGGTTTATCTCTCTGTTAAAGAATCTTTCACCTTGGTCCATAGTGTCCTGCTTGGTTATAGTAGTCATTTGCTTTGTTATAATAGTTTCCTGCTTGTCTTCCTACATTTGCCATCCATCCTTGAACTTTCCTCTTGTTTCAGGATTTGGAAAAGATTTGTGCTGCATCTCGTGCTACCTCCAACCTTCTGTACAGTTTGTATATAGGTTTTGCTTTCTCTTTCAGTATACCTAATGTACTCAAAATCTTCCTTCCAATCCAAATCACCTCTGGCTATGTTCCCACTGCGGGCAAAAATCTGATGCACTCCTGCTTAATGCGCAAATAAACCCATTTCTTATGGGTTAAAAAATGACGAATTCAAACAAGGACCCTATGTTTCTAAAGCGACAAAGAAAGCACTCATGGTAAAAAATCTTTTAGTTCACACCCAAATGCTTGGTTTATGGATATCTTGGAAAACATTCCGAGAGTTAGAACAGATGGACCACCATACTGGCTAATATTTGTCTGGTCAAAACACAAGATACTGTTGAAGCCATACCATTACAGTCCAAAAATATTTTAGATGTGAAAACTGCTTTGACAATATTCGTTGACAAATACCATCCAACAAAACTGACATCTGACTGTGAAAGTTTCTTTCAAATCAGAGATATAAAAACTATCTGCGTTCAAAAAATGTAACCAATATTTCTTGTCGACCAAAACCATTCTGCTCTTGGTGTCATTGACGTTGTATAAAAATTAAGAGACTTAAAACCACACAAGGTGTGAAGCAAATGAAATGTCATATGACGAACAATATAGACATTTCTCCATGGCAAAGATGAGACAAGTTTTAAATATTTACAATAGCCGTAAACAAAAAGGTTTGGGAAACCACTCCCCCGAAGAAATGAAAAACAACCCCGACTTAGAGAAAGACTATATATTTAATAATTTAGTCAAAAGAGACAAACAAGAAGAATGCCGGCTTCAAACTTCAGAAAGGTGACAAAGTAAAATAGAAATACCTAAACGCGACCCATATGAAATACTATTGGCTATGACAACAATGGGAACTCGACAGGTACTCACTTCGTGTTCGTAAAAATAGAAGAAAGTATACAAGAGATATTATGAAGTTTTAGGCAAACATGGCAAAATGTACAACTGCAAGCAGAAGATAAAACTACTATTGTCAGACCTCGTTTTCAAACTTGTCAAAGTTCAAGGTGGTATACTTCAAAGACAGTTCCTAACAAATATAAGACAACTCCTGACGAATATTGCTAAAGAAGTTGAAAATGACGACTAAGATTTTATACCATGCGTTAAACTGTCATGTAAGGTGCATGTATCTTTACTTTGTCCCGTTGTTTGCGTATATCCTGTAAGCGATGTTATGTTTCCCTCCCTCAGTGTTATTCCAGTAACAATTATAGCAAACTTAACGTTTTAACTCATTATCCTTTACCTTTTGTCATTTGACCAATCCCAATATCTATGACTATGCAAACCTGCTTGAGCTGTACTTAAATCTGTGTAGTGACTGTGTCGCAGGTAAATTTCACCTGAAATCGTTTTACTTACCCTGTTTCTCTTGAAGAGTTTGCACAATACAAAAACCTGTCGACTATTTGAGTCCAAGTTCCAAAACCAAATACTACTTTCTGGTCTGGTAGAGTTCATTGACGTTAAATAGACCTATAGGATAATTGTTTGAAGATTTCTGTCTTTTAGTTTGAAGCTCTGTTTTGTCGCTTTTTTTCATATAAATCTTGAGCAGTGAATTTAATTTTTTTTTCATCCTCCATTGACATAAACATTTCATTACATCTAATGTTTATCCTCGATGTTAAAACCTTTCTGGAAAGTTTGGAGGTTTAAAATATAATCACTCCCCACAGTTTCTTCAATGTTCCTAAATATTTCTATACAACAGTTGTAAAAGAGGTATGTGTATGTCCACGTCACTTTCTGTTTTAAGGTTTCTTGTAAGTTTGTAAATTTATCAATGGTATTGTATGGATTCTTTAGCTTTTCCATTAACTTATCTTGTTAAGTTTGGTCAATATTTGCAATGTATGTTATGGTTCCATTATCTCCGCTATCTTTTAAGGTCTAAACATCCTGAAACCCACCCTGTTATTGGTCTTTACCTTCTAAATATCTTTCGATGTCCGTTTTCATGTACATTTCAACCCTTTTTATATTTATTGTCTTTTTCATACATATCCTTATTTGCCTATCTCACTAACATAGCAGTTCTATCTGTTCAACATATCTTTGTCAGCTTTCTTTTACAGTTCTCTTCGTTGCATAGTTGCATCTGTCTCATTCTTCTTGACTTTTTCATACATATCTTTGTCAGCTTTGTTGTCACATCTGTTTCTAAAAGAAGTTCTTTTATAGGTTTCTCGTTTAAAGTTCCTTTTGTTGGATTTATACACAAACAGTATGGTTCTTATTGTCTTGAAAAGAAACTCCTCTGTCATTGGTTTATGTCAGTTTTAAGTTTCCTTCTTTCAATGACTCAGATCTTTAGAATAGTTTGAAAAGTTTGTTGTGTCTTTATTTAGAGCTTGCAAAATGAGTTGTCGGTTGTGTTTATTCTCTTAGACTGATTCATTTCGACATTTTTATTCTAAATAAATATGCTTTCAATAGAAAAAGAAAATTCAAGAGTTGCTACAACTAAAACCATTAGATGAACTTTTTTACAATGTCGGTCAAAGTTTGAGACAGAGACCGTAAAGCATGAAGGCTATCGTTTTGACTACCCATTGAGATGGTTAAGAGACCCATCCGTCACAAAAGCTTTGGCTTTCGTAGAATGAAGTTCATTTCAGAAGCCATACATGGTTTTCCAATTTACGGTCGGTTTTGAAATTCGATACTATAACAAAGAAAAACGTAGTATGAGAAATTTGAACAGGGAAAACTTTTACAAGTTAGTTTGCTTGTAAACTAGAAAAACTTCTTCAAGCTTTTTTAAGAAAAAATAAACGATATCTATCTCGAATATGCAAACAGTAAACATTGACGAAGGAGAGTACCATCTCGATATTATTATATGACAGGAAAAATGCAACTGTTAAAATCAATAGAATAGAAGACCTTGGAGAAAACGTTTATATTTCACAAAATATAACAACTTGGCATGGTATAGATTTTATGAGGATGTTAAATCAGCCTGCAAATATCCAGTACACCCAGACTTTTGAGGTCGAAACCCTAATGGAACATATGAAAATGTTTTCGACTCAGATGCTATTATTATCATGCTTCATTTTCTGGCGCCAAACTCTTTTATGCTGGCAATGACTTTTACGAAAAACCTACAAAGTATACGAACCACCAAGTGGAGTATTTTCAGACTTTCAAGTATGGTTTACTACAGATGGAAGAAAGAATAATTCCATTATACACGCGTTTTACTTAGAACTTAGTTTTCATATACAACTACTATCGAACGGTAAAATATAATTTTTTAATACGGTTGAGGTGTTGGATTTGGTTGCCAACTAGACTGTGGTGCAGGTTCAGGCTGTTTATAACAGAGTTGTCTTCTGGTCAGGGTCTTCTGGTATGATGTATTCTTTTTGAAGTTAATTTTTAAGTGTT